AATATTCGTAGCATATCATGACGGAACATATTCCCCAAGAAAAAGTATATGAGGCTAATGTTTCAAGATATAAAATTTAATAAAAGTGAAGATTTGCAGAATTTTTTGCTAAATATCCTTCCACCACAAGAAATAGTTCTTCATAAATCTTGCTTCTTTGGGGATTTTTGAGCATTATTTTCATTGAATCTTGAATAATCTACATTGTTGAATTTTGATATGTTATAAAAATTGAATCATGATATATATTTTTGAAGTAAGAGGTTCTGCGTGAACTTTTCTGAAAAGCTGACGAGTGACATACCTTTAACTGAATTTTTTCAATCTCATCACAGATTTATTATTGTCAATTTTTTTAACATAGTGACCACTATATGTGTCGCTCCACTCCTCGGCAGACAATCTGAATTTCACTAAAAAGTTCGTTTAATAACAGTATCCAGGATCTATGTATTTTTAAATTCTCTGAATTTTGATTATATATATTGGTAGTACTTATCTTATAGACCTCTCAAAGAGTGTGGCCTTCACAGCTGGAATGAGTACTGCCAGCGATTCTTGGAACAGTGGAACATTAGTATTCGATAAGGTGATCAACAACGTGGGAGGAGGGTATAACCGTCACATCGGAATCTTCACTGCACCAGTAGAAGGGCATTATGTGTTCTATGTCAGTATCGTGAATAACAATAGACACTCTTTATATGTAGACATAGTGTTAAACGGATTTCGTCAAGTCCAAGCAATGGCCAACTCTTATAATATAAACGATCAATATGAGACAGGTACAAATCTTGTAATATTACACCTGCAGCAGGGAGACACTGTCTGGATACAATATCATCGTGGTGCTGGTTATTACAGCTACAATAACGCACCAGTAACAACGTTCTCTGGATTCCTTATTTAAACTTTCACGTTTCCATTAATATGTGTGGAAAGATAGAGTTACTGTTTGAAGTTAAATGTACATTTGTTCATATCTGGAATTTTCCATGAATACAAAGGACTGGAAAATTGAGGATTCCTTTCTACAGATGATTTAGCTGGTTATCAGGTGGGCGTGTCCCCATACCAAACCAGATTATACAAAAATAATGATGTGTTCCTTTTTGGTTATCAACCAATCAGAGGCAAGATTACAAACAAAATGAAGCTATTCAAACGAAATTGTTGAACATTCTGTAACATCAACTTATCTTTTAGTGACCTGTATAGGTTTAAAACTGTCCTTACGTTAGCATGCAATTGAATATCAAATTTGATTTGAACATATTTTATTACATCAACATCGTATACAGGTGATAGCGCAGCGAAGGGTTCAGACCCCATACACCTCCGACCAAGACCTGTGGGTAGCAGGGATGGGGTAATTTTTTTTAAAAAAGTAATTGTAATCAATTGAGTGTAATTAATTACATTTTTGAATAAATTGGAAGTAATTTGTATTTGAACATTGTTTCCATTACGTGTAATTAAATTGCTTACACTGAAAAATATCATATTATTTCAATTACTTTTTCAATTACATTCAATTAATTTATATAATATATTATTCATGATATATTGTAAACCACTACGTCCCTATTTTAGTCTCTTTTTTTAATTTTGTATAAAACATATTCTCAATCCTTCAATTATACAAATCTTAAAGTTTGATATTTTTATTTAAAATTTGTGATATATCTAAATTTTGTACCACCTCTCATAGATCTAGTCAGCCACGAAGCACTAATGAATTATATTTCAATTTTTAGTATGTGATGAATAATAAAGAAAAAGGATATGTGTGTCATTAATTTAGTCCTCTGTTGTTTGGAAGAGATAATTGCCCTCCAAATCACAGCCATAAATTGCATTCAAAACAAAACACCTCTGTAAGTAGGTATTTATTCCATAATTGATAGAAGACAAAGCCACTGGAGATAATTATTTCAATAAAAAATGCTCCTCTGGCATTAGACAAGTAAAAGTTTCAATTTGTTAATTATTTCAACATCCAAACAGATTTTTGTGAATGAATTTTGCATTTGAAAAATTCAAAAAGTTATGTTCTGTAAAAGTATTTTTTTTATGACGTAAACAGGTTTTACATTAATGGCAGTTTAGGATGTTCAGGTTACCTTCAAAGGAAGTAATTAATCTCATGGGTTACATTAATGTCTCATTTTACTATATTAGATTACCCACTTTTTAACTGATCTCAGATTAGTTCGTTAATGTTTTGTAAATTAAAGTTATAAAGTAAAGTACAAAGATATACAATGCCTATAGCATTTCTTGTATTGTTTGTGCAGAGTATGCGCTTACCGATATAAACAAATGAATGGTGTTCTGTATAATAATTGATTAAAATTTTCATAAAAGAATAAAAATGTAATTTGTAATTTAATTAATTACTTTTGCAAAGTAATTGTAGTTTAATTAATTACATGTCTTTGAAAGACTGTAATTTAATTGTAATTTAATTTAACAAAAAAGTTAAAGTAATTTAATTAATTTATTTTAATTTAATTACCCCATCCCTGATTGTAAGGGGGATAGCAGTGTGTTGCATTCATGGGAATTAACCGTTTTACAAAAGAATTAACAACTAAGACCTACATTTAATGATGCCTATAACTGTCTAAATAACATTTTGTTAAACAAAAGTTTACAATCAACTTCTGGTTTCCGGTTTTGTCGTGATTTCTTTTGTAAAAAGCGCTCCTGGAGTATTGTGTTAAAGTTTACGTCAGCTCCCTTTAAAGTTTTTGTTCAAGAACTCACACATCTTTTACTCATAAGGTACACTTACATGCTGAAAATTAGATCAATATACATGTATGGAAATGTACCATTTCAAAAAAATCATGGAAAAAAAGGTGATTTTGTAACCTATGTTTAGAACTACACGAGATGCACTACAGTAAGTCTTGCATGTAATTACAAGCTACATGCATTAAAATTAAGCAATTAAAATGATATGGAAAATCCTACTTAACCTACTTAAATGATTTAAATACTTCCTATCTTAAATGATCAATTGTTTTAAGATGTATTACAATAGCAAGAATTGAAATACGTGATTCTTGCACTATATAAATTAGATTGCATGTCGACAAGTTTTCATATCATGGGTTAAACCTGATTACCTACGGAAAATAAGTTCCGGGCAGAAATGTTTAAGAAAATGAAAAATATAGTAATTGTACGTTCGGTTTTTAGACTAAGTCTATTAGGATTGTTAATTATTGTTCATGTTGTTTGCTTCAACTTCATCACTGAACAGTCAAAGTATTGGAAATATTACTAACGATGCACTGGAAAATACAGATATCCTACGTCAGCTTTTAAATCAAGAAACCATTATTCGAATGGCCCTAGTACAAAATGTCAACTCTTTAATGAAAGACATGCTGATAATAAAGAACTCCATGCTCGTGTCGGAAACTACTATGGAAAAATTCAAACTGAAACCGAAAAGAAAATTTTCCACTGAGAATCAAAATTAGAAAAGCTGAGATCTGGATATAAAAATTCAAAGAACGATGATGCAAATGTTACAGTAAAATTGATTCCTTCTATAAATGGGACATTTCAAACGGTCCAGAACACAATTTTACAACTGGAAAAAAGTGATCAAACAAATGAACAGCATTTGGAGGAGATTAAAGGAAATTTTATTCCCTATGTTAATAGAACGTTTCAAACTGTCCAAAACTTAATTCTAGAATTTAAAAAAAGTCAGCAAAAATTGGACGAGCAATTGAAGGACAAAATGCATAAACAGTTTGCGAAACTTGATTCAGAGATAAAGATAATTAAAGCAAAGAAAGCAAATGCATCATCCATTGCAACTTTGGAGACATCTTTGTCATTCATTTCAACTCAACTTAAAAGTAAGTATTCTGTAAAATGTAGAATGATATATATTAACTTTAAATACATCATGCAAACGTGATAAACTGAAACTGTCAATTAAAACTCATAACCCCAATGATAACATTGAAAGAAAAGTTTATTTTACTCTAAAGAGTAGTATATTTCTGCTGCATAGGGCGAAATACGGTGAAAAGATAACTAAAAATGCAATTTGCAGGGTTCTCCACAATTGAAAATTTAACCATGGAGGAAGCTGCGTGAAGACAAAATGTGACCGAAAACACGAATGCGCGTTAGACTTTCTAATCTTCATTAATCAATAACTGGTTTTACAATTTGTAAACTTTACCATTGCAACACAAAACAATGGAATAACTAACTCTGTTTAAAGTTAAAAAAAAAAAGAATTAAAATTGGAAAGGATTTATCTGTATTTTACCTCACAAATGTACCAGAATTTGCCCAAAACTGTAGAAATCTTCCGAAGGAATTTAAAAAAAAATTGTTGATACATTAACCAGGGCAATATCATTCAGAAATTAATAATTGTAAGAATTGTTGTAGCCTGTTGTATGAAATGTTTTGATTAAATATGACTAAAACTGATGAATAGGTAGTATTTTTTTTAAGTAAACACACAAAGGAACAATTGGATAAGTGTCCTTTTTTTCTAAGCATTCTATTTTTCTAGATAATGCGTTTTTCACCAAGTTTTGTTTACTTCTCCACGTGCCCAGTGCTAAAACTAGCGCCACGCGACGTCTCATAACAACGGGAAGTAACTCTAAAAATAAGACGGCGATTGACACTTAGGTCCTATGCACATTTTATCGAAAACGATAATTTCTAGTTTAGTTTTATTGAAGTCGAGAGACATACATCTCATAGACATAACACATGTAATAATGAAATAAACATACATCTTAACACGTGCAATAATGGAATAAACATACAACGTACATGTGCAAAGCATATAATATTTCTGATAATCTATAAAATTGATAAAGATGCTGTTCTTGAGGCATTCGCTAATTGCAAAAATTTTCCTAAATTACATAATTCTTTTATATTCTGTGTACTGAGTAGCTGTACCAATTTGAAGACGCTTGGTCTTCGGGAGTAGTAGGATTTAATGTATTTTTGTCTTAATGTGTTGTAATGTGGACATTTTAACACAAAATGGAAGTCATCTTCTATGTTACCTAACTGACAGAGACTACATGTTCTGTTATTTCTCAAAGTTTTATTATATCTTCCTTGTTCAATCATTAAGTTATGCGCAGATAGTCTTAATCTGGTAATTGTTACTCTATATTTTAGATGTATTGGTTTACATAAATAAGACTGAAGGGTAAAATTATCTACCAGGTGTTGATAAATGAGACATTTTGGTGATTTACCTAAATCTGACATAATGTTTTGGATAAATTCGTCACACATTCTCTGATATAAAATATCAATTGTGTTACTATTTATACAATTGCTATCGAATAGTTCTACTAAACCAAGCCTATAAAATTCATTCTTAATATTTACAATCCAGTCATCATTATTTTCTAACCTTTCTGTAGACATGCTTGAAGAATGCAATTGTCACTATTTCTTAATTTTAGCCAGTATTTAAAGATTTTCTTTTTCCTGACCAATTCAAGAGGCAATTTACCTAATTCACAATATACCATACTGTTATATGTATTCTGTTATATGTATTCTGTCTAACTTTAAGTATTCTTTTACAAAATGAAAGATGTACTTTTTCTATATCTTTAGCTTTGTGCCATCCCCAAATTTCAGATGCATAACACAGTACAGGGCTAATATAAGTCTCAAACATATCTGATTGTGTTTTAACGTTAAAATTCAAATCTTTCATTCTATTCAAAACACTATACATGGCTTTTCTTCCCTGTGATGCAAAATGTTGTTGTGTTTTTGCAAATTTACCATTAAAATTAAACAACATACCAAGATAATTAAACTCATTAACTACTTCTACAGTATTCCCATCATATTCCCAGTGTTCGTTAGCTCTAATGTGTCCACTGTTTCTAAACACTAATATTTTTGTTTTTTCAACATTAACAGTTAAAAAATAAAGTTAAAGCTTGAAAAACATAGCATGGGAAATTGATTAAATACAGATGAATATGAATTTTTTACAGAGTATTTTTGGGCTAATATCATCAAGATTGCCGACGTTAAAAGAAACTACTTAGTTCCGACTGCCCTGGCTCGGATGCGTGTCTACTACGAGAATCGTTACTATGTCTTTGAATTCTTGTAAATCTTTTAATTATTATGTAGTGAAACGAACACAGTTAGAATTCAACAAAATAACGTGTAATACAAAAATACAGAGCCCCGTTAACAGTAGTTTATATAGTAGATAAGTTAACTACTCATACTGTCAAAACAGCTGGCCGACCGACCTTCAGTTCATGAATTCTCACGCTTCACGGCACATTCGCAACTGATCGACCGTGGGTAATTAGGCCTAGCACTATTACCTGTCCCCCGTGCGCTTGAGGGGGGTTCACACCACGTTGTATAAACACAATTAACTACTCAGATAGTATATTGCAGGTGTCATCTCTGAAAATGTTTTAAATTCTAAAATTTAACCATGGCGGGCGCGGATTTTAACCATGGCGCAGCAAATTTAACATGGCGCACACAAATTTAACCATGGCGCACCTCCATGGTAAAACCCCTTGTGGAGAACCCTGATTTGTATGTATGAGGGTTGTTCGAAAAGTTCGTTGACTTCTGTCATATCTTTTTTTATTTGACGTCATATGTTATCCAAATTAACAATAACTTCAAATGATTTGTATTATTTTTTTAAATATCACGATTTATTCAAACTTATCAAGATTTACAAAATGCAAAAATTGGGTCACGGTGCTTTTTAAAAATTTCTGGTGAGTTATATAACGAAAATTGACATCGTCTACTTACTTTTCGAACAACCCTCGTACATTGTATATGGAAGGATTTTTAAACTCGACGTGAAGTGACCCTTCGGATCAAGTTACTTTTATAATATATATATGTTTTTCTTGGCATAGAATTATTCCACCTTAAAGTTGAAGAATAACGTTTTACATTACGTCCATGCTGCCACTTATAAAATAGAAGCATTATCAAATTGAAAACTGGAGAAAAATATCTCAGGAGCCACTTCTAGGATAACTCCTTTCAGCATAAGAATATTACAATACTTATAATAATAGATATATTCAAGCAGATTGTTTGTATGTTCGTATGTTGTTTTACGTCTGATTTGAGAACTTTTCTTTCATAGAGAAATCACCATATATCGGTAAAAAAATTTCAAATTTATAACTTTACTCGACACCCTGGGTCATTGAACAGTGAGGGATCTTTATTGTTGCAAGATCGACAGTTTTTCAAGCGAAATAAAGTAATTCTGCTTGGTAGAACGCCCACTTTCTGATTGAAATGTTGTTTTTCGTTACTTATATTAAATAACCTTCACGGTAGCTCAGTTGTTAGATTCTAATGCTTATTTTTTCCAAAGTCTTAGCCCGGATTCAGATTCATATGAGCCTAAGAATAATTATTTTATATCCAAAATTTTGTGCATGCAGTAGAGGGGAGGAGATGTTGGAGATTGATAAAAGTGCCATTAGTTTTTTACTGAAATGAGCGCTTTGCATATTGATTTGAAAGTAGATTGCATTGGCATATTGATAAAAAAGTTTTCAATGCACAAAACATTTACTATTAAGGAGTACCTTTGACATAAATAAATATTTAAATAATATAAAGAGGTAATAGATTGAAGAAAAATAAATAAATGTACTGATAAAATTGTTTTGGGATACGACTTTTAGGCAAGAATTTTGCAGGAATCCACGTGCCCTTCGTTTCTCGATTGTGTTATATTAATAGAACCATGATTCATTATTAGCAATTACTGAACCTGTCTTGTTTAAGAATATCAAAGAAAAAATTCGATACGCCAAAGAAGCAATACAATGGAATTAATTTGTTATGTCCTCCAGCGCTAAAAATACTATTTTTATGTAAAATTGAGACATTAAAGTACATATTAATTTTCTGATAATTTTTATGCTATTTTGAAATTTCTGAATTATTGTTAACTGATTAACATTTCGTTACTTGTAGGCATGTCAAAGAGCGTGACGTTCACTGCTGGGGTGACGTCTGATAGCATTTCTTGGAACAGTGGGACATTAATATCCAATAAAGTTATTAATAACGTCGGAGGTGGGTATAACCCTCACACCGGGATCTTCACCGCACCCGTGTCAGGCGATTATGTGTTCTACGTCACTATCCAAAGTACCAGTAGAAGTGGTGTACGAGTAGATATTGTGTTAAATGGATATAGCAAAGTTCGAGCGATGGCTAGTTTTTATGACACTAATGATCGTTGGGAGACAGGTACCAACCTGGTAACATTACCTCTGAAGCAGGGGGACACGGTGTGGGTAAGGCATCACCATGGTACTGGTTATTTCACGTACAGCGACGCTCCCACCACCACGTTCTCTGGATTCCTTATTTTTAAAACTGTGAAGACTCTAAACTTTCAATGTCTGCGTATTGTATGGATACAACGTAATATGTCATATTGGTTACCACCTATTCTACGTAATTTCATGATGTGGGTGCCTATAAAACAATTTGACTTTCGATTCAAATGCACTCAACTGACGTAGTTTGTACATGTGTATTATAAAAGGGATGTATATTATTTGTATAAACTTAAATGTAATTTGCATTACTTATTTACCTCAATAAAATATTACTTTCAGCTTTAATATTTATTTTCTGTAAATTGTTGTTTAATAAGGTGCCTTTAACTGATGTATTAAATATGCATATTCACTCATATTAAACATGCATGAAGCTCATTTCTGCAAGCATATTTGTTTTAATATCAAGATTGCCACATCATGTGACAATTCTGCACAAAAATCTGTTCTTCTTATACATGGCAATGTAGTGTTCTAACCATATTACACTTGTTCATTACTTTTAAGTTCATAAAATAATTGTCAATCCCTGTCAAGAATATATTTTAACCTAAAAAAAATCGTCAGTATTAAGATTGTGCACCTTGACTTCACTACATTGATCCTTGATGCCTTAGCCTCTGTGAAGTGGATTTCTTGTCTACTATCTTTTACAAATACTAACTAAAACCTTGCTTTTTCGGAAGCGTAAAGGTATCTGTACTTGTTCAGTCCAGTCCAATACGAAAATTCGTAAGATTACGAAAAAGCGTAATATTACAAGTTATCGTAATATAAAACTTATATTACAATTTTTCGTAATGTAGTTAAATTACGAATACGTGTAATATAGCAGATTGTAAGAGACTATATTACGAGTTTTATCCAAGACAAATTCAAGCATTGCAAGAAATTGAGTGGTGGGTAGCAAAGTATGACGTCAGTAATATATCAGATTCCACGGCTACTGATAGCACGCGGTCAGTTTGGTCAGTTACGCCAATCAGAAAGCAAGGAAATTCAAGAAGAAAGTACCTCCAGCGATGGGTGAGTGGACAATTTCTTTTATTATTCTTTTATAGGAATTTTCCCAAGGATAAGACCAATTTTCCAGTAAATTTCAATATTCGCTTAAGCATGTCGCATTGGTCTATATCACCCGAACTCCCTTCTTTTCTTGCGAAGTCTACCCTAAAAATCACACCCTCGTCTCATAATTCAACTGTTCGTGCAATTCTTATTGAAATACACAGAATTCAAATCTCAGTAAGAGTCGTACAAGTTATCGCCCGTAACATCTCGTATTAAACGTCATACTTTACTACCCGCCACTCAATTTCTTGCAATGCTGGAATTTGTCTTGGATTACGAAAACTCGTAATATAGTCTCTTACATCTGCTATATTACGCGTATTCGTAAATTAACTACATTATGAAAAATTGTAATATAAGTTTTATATTACGATAACTTGTAATATTACGCTTTCTCGTAATCTTACGTTTTTTCGTAATATTACGAATTTTCGTATTGGACTGGACTGTTGTTGTGTTATAAAGTTATATATGGTCTTATATTTTATCGTAGACTTATCAACATATTACGTGTAAATAATCCTTATTTATACACATATTTTGCATTGTATTAAGATGTTTTTGAATATTAATTTAAAGTAACCCTTTTTTTATTCAATTGATTATATTGCTTTCAATTTTATAGACTTAAAAATTATATTGCATTCATGTTTATATCGATATAAATATAATTTATGAATATTTTCTTTAAAAAAGTCAGAAAATGGTGATTTTAAATTAACTTCACAGATTCCCTATCCTGCTTTCCATTTCTTGATTCATATTAACAGTTGTACACTGCCTGATTCTTTTTTGTCGATTTAAACCCGAGATCACCCTTAAATCTCAAGTTTGAAAACTACTTCTTATATTCACTTTCACTAAATAAATATACACCAAGACCCTCTTTCCCTGAATCACGTCAACAAACACTTTTTCTCACTTAGTCCTAGAACTACGACAGCGTATTAGTGCCACTTGCACACTTTACTTTATTTAAATTTCTACACTTTAATCTGTAAAATTTACACTTTAGTCAGTAAATTTTACACTTAAATCTGTAAAATTTACGCTTTAATCTGTAGAATTTACACTTTGGTCAGGAAATCTTACACTTTAATCTGTAAATTTTACACTTAAATCTGTAAAATTTACACTTTAATCTGTAAATTTTACACTTTAATCTGTAAATTTTGCACTCTAATCTGTAAATTTTACAGATTAAAGTGTAAAATTTACACTTTAATTTGTAAAATTTACACTTTAATCTGTAAATTTTACACTTTAATCTGTAAAATTTACACTTAAATCTGTAAAATTTACACTTTAATTTGTACATTTTACACTTTAAAGTGTAAATATTACACTTTAAAGTGTAAATTTTACACATTAATCTGTAAAATGTACACTTTAATCAGTAAATTTTACACATTAATCTGTGAAATTTACACTTTAAACTGTAATTTTACACTTTAATCTGTAAATTTTACAGATTCAAGTGTTAAGTTTACACTTTAATCTGTAGAATTTACACTTTAATCTGTAAATTTTACACTTTAAAGTGTAAATTTTACCCTTTAAAGTGTAGATTTTACACATTAATCTGTAAAATTTACACCTTAAAGTGTAAATTTTACACTTTAATCTGTGAAATTTACACTTTAATCTGTAATTTTACACTTTAATCTGTAAATTTTACACTTTATTTGTTTATTCACATAGTCAATTTAGCATCTTCACACAGCCTCAGTAACACATTTTTAAGCCAACAGACCAAGTTTCCTGCATGATAAAATTTAATTCTGATGTTTTATTTTAAAGTAAAACTTTTCTTTGAATATAAAGTTAAGAGCATATCAAACGCACATATTCCCGATCACAGGTTCTTGTGGACCCCCCCCCCCCCCCCAATATAGATTCCAGGGCCTGTAAGACTTTTTTCACATAAATGATATATGGATGACATAATTGTGATATAATCTATCGTATCAATTCAGAAAATTTGCTTTAACTAACATTTTATAAAAATTTCTACCCCACTCTCTATATATAAATTGATTTTTATATATAGAATGTAGGGTAGATTTTATACAACGTTTGCGTTGGGTAATTTTTCGATTTTTTCGTATAGATCTTATCGAAATAGAAAATATCGTATAGAATATTTTATATTATTATTCATGTGAAAAAAGTCTAACAGACCCTGGAATCTATATTAGTAGGGGGGGGGGGTCCTTAAGCACCTGTGATTGGGAATATGTGCATGTATGTTTGATATGCTCTTCACTTTATATTCAAAGAAAAGTTTTACTTTAAAATAAAACATCAGAATTAAATTTTATCATGCACGAAATATGGTCTGTTGGCTTAAAAATGTGTTACTGAGGATATGTGAAGATGCTAAATTACTATGTGAATAAACAAATAAAGTGTAAAATTTACAGATAAAAGTGAAAATTTACAGATTAAAGTGTAAAATTTACACTTTAATCTGTAAAATTTACAGATTAAAGTGTAAAATTTACAGATTAATGTGAAAAATTTACAGATTAAAGTGTAGAAATTAAAAAAAATGTAAAGTTTGCAAGTGGCACTAATACGCTTCCGTATAGAACAAAACTGATCAAACAAAACAGGAACATTACACTTCTAACAACGTGTCTGCTCAAAAGCTCTCAGACTTGTTGAAGACTAAGACCGTACACCCTCCAACAACTCAGCTCTCTACTGTTATTATACCCCCCACTTGAAAAGTAGGAGGGTATATAGTAATCGGGATTTCCGTCCGTTCATCTGTCCGTCCGTCCGTCTGTTACGCTTTGGGGTACCCATCTCTTATCCGCAACTCCTCTCATACCACTGAAGGAAATTTAAGGAAATTTCAAGGAATCTTTAATACATATTGCCATTGTGCACCTCCTATTTTACTTTTTGATCTGACATATATTTTGGATTTTCCAGAGCAAAACAAGGACACTACCAATTTATTCATATGAGAGGCGGAGGGTATCATTTAGTGAGCTCATTGCTCACAGTACTTGTAGTTTACAGAATGTGACAATTAAAATTCAAGACCAGGCACGTATATTAATAGTGGAGAAGGACTTTTCCTTATATTGCTGTAAATAGCTAGTTTCTCATGATAATACAGATTCTGTGTTTATTTTTTTCTATGGTTTTCATCTTGCAATGTATATAATTCTGTTTTTCATAGTATAAAAGCCTGGTTATTCTGTAATTCGAGGTCATTTGACTAACTTATTGATCAGGGTAGGGGAAAAGTACCCGAAGCTGAGTTGCTCAGGTTATTTTATTTATGATTAAAGGTCGTATTTAATTAAGTGAACTTGCTGAAGGGAGACCATTATCAGCAGATATTACAGAAAATCGCACTTCAGTTTGTCTAGTAAAATATCGCCAATTTACTAATGATAAAACAAATCATTACATTAACATCAAAAGCATTTCCTATTCTTTTCCACAGCTATTATAAGAGAAAAAACTATACTTTCCACGGTATAACAGATATATAATATCAACTAGAGGCTGTCATGAGACTATTATACCCGTACTGTTTGCCTATAAACTCTTCTTTCTAATGGATAATGAAGAACCAACAATAGTTTTTTTCTAACCCACATAAAATATATGAATTCATGTATCTAATTCAGGGGGAACGCACAGGAGAACTTGAAATCAATAGGCCACTAGTCTGAAATTTAAGAGCTTGGAATGTCTTTCCTCTCAAATAAATCATATTGTGCGTACAGTTAATTTTGTTACAAAACAAAACAAAACAAAAAAAAAATAGTGTGTTACAATCATTATGTTATTTAAAACTTTATAAGTATATATTTGGTCAATCTCATCATTCGTAACTTGGAATGATCAAATATTTCAAAAAATGTAGTCTTTAGTCTTGACCATATATAATCGTTTTGTTTGTGTAATGACACATCATCACAGTAGGTCCATGGAGGTCATCACCCTCCAAAATAGTTGAAAATTTTATCCAATCCCAATCAGAAACTATTTTTATGTAATTTATTTTCTGATTCATTTATCCTTAGAAATATTAAAAAACGTCAGTAATATATATCTCAGCATGACTCTTACATTTTTTTAATCGTCAGAATACAAATATCTTTTTATCTTTTTATCTAATACAATGTTTTCTTTTTTGTTTGAATTTATTTGATCCAGTTTCGTGCTTATTTTCTTGTTAAGATAACAAACACTAAATAGATGAATAATTCTTTCTTTGAAGTATTCCAATCCCCTGCATAACATATTTGGATCAATATCAAATAACGAAGCAATATATCAATCTTGTTTGACATCAAAAGAAAGTAATAAAGGTAAATTATATGTCAGTTATAAGTTTCTAGGTAGAATAAAGAATTCAATTTAATATAAATTAGTATCATTTATTTGTTTTATGAACAAAATTCAAACATATCAGTTTGAGTAATACCCTTAAGGTCTTTGATCTTTTCCGAAGGGAGTATATAAATTCAAATCGGTAATTAGAATGCAAAACTGGAAAAGTGGTTTTGCAAACTGATGTAAGAAATTGGATTGTGTCTACATTTCAATTTTGACGATGCATATGTTACATTCAATCAAAATTATACTTTTGTTGTCATTGATGATTAATATTGAACAAGCCTCGGCGTTGCTACTGCATGGGAACTCTAATGCAAGTGATACAAATCATGGATCTGCCGAGCGTCCACTTGATGCAGCAGAAATCAATCAAATGCTTCTGAACTTGACAGCTGAGATGGGGAATCTAAAGAAAGAAACAGGCATTATTCGTGACGAGAAAAACTTGCTTCAAAACAGGGTATTCTTTTTGGAAGCGGAGTTAAATAAACTAAATGCGTCAAAAACCCCTTCAAGTGAAGAACTGGCCATGTATTTGAGCAGTACAAAACAAATAGTCCAGACATTATCGGCAAACGAAGAATATGACAAAAATCTAACGTCCCGATTAAACGAAGCAGCAAAAAAGCTGGAGAACCTTGAGGTCCAAATGAGATATACAAGTTTATCATTGCTGGACATCCATGCCTTGACAGAAGAATTAAATGGGTCCTTAGTCAAACACATCGAAGATAAAATAAATGTTTATGAGCAGCTAAAGAGTAAGTATAGGATTGTGTAAGTATAGGATTGAATATGTATACAAAATCCAATTCTCTTTCGATTGGAGCACATTTTCCATTACTTTGTTTTTTTTTTTTTTTTGTTTTTTTTTTTGCATTAGGCTCAAGGATTTTAATTTTGCAATTAATAATACTCAGATTTTAATATGATTTGTCAAACGAAAAAAATGTGGACAAAGTTTATTTGCTCAACTGAATAACGATTAGTTGAATCGTGAACTATATTTTCTACACCCAGATTCTTCTGTTGGAAAACAAATAGCAAAAGTGCAAGTGTTTGTGTGATGTTTCTTCTTTAAATGAATAAATATACTTAGATATTTTATATCGAAATTCAAGCTCAGAATGCACGATTTTGAAACTCAACAGTTATATTAAGCTTCTGGGCTTTCAAAAGTATCAAGCATATTTTGTGAATTAAATTCTTATTTCAGAAGCACAAAAGTAACAAAATTCAATAGTCAACACGAAAAATTATGTCCTCATATTTTTAAATCTGTAAAGTAACTTCTTAAAAGCTTTATGCACGACTTTTAATAAAAAGCATAATGGTTATAAATGAATTAATGTTTAATTTCTCATGATCTTTATTAAATACATTATTTTAACAGTTCTTTTTAAGGTGCTTAGACACAGATTTGAAGTAAATATTTTCTTCTCAAATGTTCTGTATAATTCCATGACTTATATGTTTTTAAAGCATATCATACGTTAATATAATAAATATCTTATTTTATGTGGAAATTATTAACTTTAGAATTTTAGGACGCGTTTTATATCTAGACATATCCTTGCACTTTAACAAATTTTTACTGTTACCTTTATTGCTATTGCTCAATAAAAGTAGCAATATTGTTGTGTATGAATAGACAAAAGACAACATATTTAAATAATCCATAATTATCAGTCAGAGTAGAAATGTGAGAAAGCAAAACCCTGTCAAAGTATTGATAGTCCTTGATCAGTGGTGTGTGTTTTACAATTGAACACATCCGATGAAACGTAAACATTAACAATAACAGAGCTCTTGATCTGTTTACAGAAACTGTTTACGTTTTATAGGTGTTTTCAATTTGTTCAACTCTGTACAACACACTGTGCACGGGCTGACAATAATAGCGAGTAAGTTTTGCTTTCGCATATTTTTACTCTGATAATAGATGTAATATCATTCATGAATACACAAGAAACCACAGTTTTGTGATGTCTAATAGGAATTCTATTTCCTTTTTAGAAGTATATATGAACACTTAACAATGCTGTTCTGCTTTCAATTTTTTATTTTAAAATAAAATCAGGGTATAATGAATTGAATTTCACCAGGCAAGTCAAAAATTCGATAACAACGGTATTCTTTTTTTATATTATATCAAACACTTACTAATGTATTTATAAAACTGGACTCGAGCTCTATTATTGTTTTACTGGGTTAGTTCCGTTTACTACGTCCACGTGTGTGTACTTGTATATGGCATTTAAACACGCGCAAATGTTCTCATCTTGAGATTATAGAATTTTTGAAGCATGTATTTATAGTATAACAATATTGTTCTTAAATGCTTTAAGAACATGTCTATTATGACATTATATTTCAAATTCTAATTTTTTTTCTCCGTGAGAACTGTTTGAAAGTTGGAGGAATTTATTTCTTGATAATTCTGCCGGAATGTAAATTAGGCAGGTCGATAGGTCAGCAGCTAAGGAGGCCTAATACGCATGCAAATCTCGTGCGCATCTGTCTCTGTGCCTGACGCTAAGGAGACCAAATATGCATCTTAATCTCATGCAGCTGCCTTTGTGTTTGACGTCAGTGTGCGAGGACTATTGAAATTGGCATGGAAGTCCTCGTGTAATTTAAATCGATTAGTCTGGATTCTTAATGTTTAAGTCTACAATTTTATTTCACAATGAAATGGAAATATAAGAAATCACTGTCTAGTTTTGAGAGTATGCCAGGGACATCAACAATAGTTTCCCACTATTGTTGATGCCCTGGCATACTCTCAAAACTAGACAGTGATTTCTTAAATAATGAAAACTATATATAAGTAATGGATATATGCCGAATACTGTTCTATATGTAAAATTATCAGACCGTTTGAGGCCCGTTAGGGCCGAAAACTGTCTGATAATTTTACATAAAGAATAGTATGAGGCATATATCTTACTTAAAACATTGCCATTTAAGGACAGACGAGACGTTCCTCAATAATAGATAAATTTTTCTAAGAGTTTGTCATTGAAGTATTGCTACTTAAACATGTTTACTAACAAAAAATTGGGGTACCTTACCAGGCATTTCTGCAAGACAGCAGGGGTAGATTTTCTTGTATAATCCTTTGGGAAAGAAAAATAATTTTTCCAATTTCAAATGTTTTAGTGTTTGAATTTTTTTAAAACGTTTAGAAACTGGTTTAGAAATCAAAATATTATTAAAATTTTTAATATTTTTCATACATTACGAAGATATACAAACCAAATTTTGAGGAACGTCTCGTCTGACCTTAAATGTCCAAAAGTTACCTGGAGGAGTCCGATAATAACACAATAGGAGTTTACGCAGCCATTGTTTTCTACCCGTCTGATAAGTAGATAAAAGAAATGAGACAGTAAAAAAGTGAGTGAACTCTTGTTCCATTTCATTCATTCAATGGCAGTCGTTTAGTTTAGCAGGACAGGGGTCAGGTGGTGAAAAATTTTTGGGGGAACAATTTTATTTATGGTGTGCATAAATTGACATTGATACCGACATAATTTTGGTTGACATTATAACCATCACCATGGAAAGTAAAAATGCGGATTTGTACCCTGAAGTTTTAGTTTAGATAATGGAAATATTCTCAGGTTTTAAAAGTGTGGCCATCGGGGAACAAAATAAGGAGATTTGCAGACTCTTTTGCAGAAATGGATTTAAATTCGCTTATTCAAAGTGCTGTATCAAAAATTCTTTTAAAGAGTGGAAAGTATTAATTTTGTGGAAGGTTTAAACTTGGATTTTTTTTGTCATGGATTTGCTTTTTTGTAGCAATTTAATTTCCTTGCGTTTGCTTTCCCAGAATTTGTTTCGTAACATTTTTATTGGGGGGTTCTGGACATATTTAACCTTAATTTCACTCTTCTTTTTGTTTTTTAAATACCGTCCGATTTTGTTATCATTGCCGTCCGATAATATATTATCAGACTGGTAATTATTATTATCGGACGGCTACAGGTAAATTTTTAGACTGCAAGAACAAAGGCATGACGTCACAGCAATGTTTTAATAGAATTTATATACAATTCTTTGTCCACGTTCCATAAACTTTTTAACAGACAATTAACATTACTAAATTTGTAGACTTGTCTCGGAGAGTAGCGTTCACAGCTGGAGTGACATCTGATAGCAGGTCGTGGAACAGTGGAACCTTGGTGTACAATAAAGTCATTAACAACGTGGGAGGAGGTTATAACCCGAACACCGGAATCTTCACCGCACCAGTAGAGGGGGATTACGTGTTCTACGTCAGTATCCAAAGTTACGGTAGCTACAGTATACGTGTAGACATTGTCCTAAATGGATCTAGCAAGGTCCGAGCAATGGCTTACGCTACAAACTCTGATGATCAGTACGAGACAGGTACAAATCTGGTGACATTAAGGCTGCAGCAGGGGGACACGGTGTGGGTTAAGTGCTATGATGGGCAAGGTTATTACACCTTCAGTGACGCTCCTATCACCACATTCTCTGGATTCCTGAGATAGGAAATTTACAGAGTAAATATAACAGCAGTTGAACAGATATAATTGTAATTAAGAAAGAACAAATGTTATGTATTAATAACCATGAATATTGTTTTATTAGACTAAACAATTACGATTAGGTTACGATGATTAATCATCATGTTTCAAGACTTTTTTTTTTTTTTTTTTTTTTTTTACAGATTAATGGATAGTGAATACCATAGTCATAGAAGCCAATTTCCACTGAGTATTTTTACTTAACTAAGAAGTAATTTGTCATTGGGTTTTGTTATAGAACGAGAGTTGTCCTGTAAAATCGTGGACAAACCGTTTTTCTCAAAAAGTAATGGACTCGTTAAGCTGAAATTTTCAATAAATGTTTATTTATCACATTTAAGTGCTTCATGATTTTTGGGGTAATCAATAGACGAAAATAAAGATTTTAATATGTTTGAATGTGCAGTCCTACTGCGCACGGTCAAAAACCAAAGTTTTATTAGAGAATACACAAGTATTAATTCGAAATAAAGTTTTAAATATATAAGATTGGGATAACAATTATCTTTATTTGATTCCACAATCTATTTTTGTCGTCATTTTAAAATTTTCGATGCATTTGATTAATTTTTGGCAGTTTCCTGAGCATTCGAAATGCGAAATTGGTAAACACAAAACATGAAAAATGGCGACGTTTGATGACGTTATGGCGCATCAGATTTCAGTTCAGTTCGATTTAGAGATTAAATGACAACTTATTAGGAGACTTTATATGAATACAGAAGAAAAAATATGAAAATATTACCAGACCTGTCGTATACAAATGAAATGGGAGTTTTCTTAGCAAAGTCCTTTTTTAAATTGAATCCCTGGGAAGTGCAAAACATACGGACAAACTGCTATTGTATAAGCATAATTGTGTCACTGCCGACCGTCGATATAAGATCGTCTATTAGTTAAATGATGGTGAGAATATTGTCCGAAGCTTACTAATAAATCTTCAGAAGATCGCTTGTGTGTGCCAGATTGGTTCCTCAACTGTTTATGTTGACCCAGCTGCAAGTATGTGCATTAGTGAAATTCCTAAACTTAAGCAGGACTTATCCTTCTTCCAACCTTACTTTTAGGAAGGACGAAAAGTGACACTGCTTTGCACACTTTGACGTTATCATCCGTGCGCCGTAAGACGATACAACACATAACATAAAATCTCATAATTTGTTTATTTATGCATATAACTACGAGGGTTGATCCAAAAGTGATGTCACTGTGTCTATATCTTTAATATTTGGCGTCACATTATCAAATATAATGCACCAAAAGATGCATAAAAATAAATTTAATCAAAATTGAAAATTTCATCTAATAATGATTAATTGAATTCATTTTATAGACGTTTAAAATATTAAACATAGGGGGTGTCGCCGCGTCACAACTAAACGTCACGTTTTAAAGTGTATATTGTTAGAATGAAAAAAGACAAACACATTTTAAGAAGCATCTAAAAAGCGCTTAATCACCCAATTTTTAAAAAAACAAAATTTACAACATTTTCTAGTCTTAGGTTAATGACAGCATTGTTTTTTTTTTCATCATAAACATAGTTGTTTATATCTGATGTATTGCAGAAAAGAAACGTCGAAATGGAATAAACGCCGAAACGAGTTGTGATACGTTTTTCCTTCAAAATCGGGAAATCGCCAGTAGATACAGTTGCGATGGTAAATCAGACTCGCAGAGGAAGGGATGTTAATTTGAGATTTGTTCATAGATGTTTGAGAGATTTTGGGCGGGTAAGGGGTAATTTAATGATCAGCTGAGGACAGAAAGACCGAAATAAAGCAGGTCGGGTGGAAACGTTCAATGGTGTCGACGTTTTCAAAAAGAGATTCGTGTCACGCAGTTTGAGTGATATGAGAAAATTTTAATTTTGTCTTATAGTACTCTTCAAAGAATTTTGATGAACGACTAAATTATAGAAAGAGTGTACAATTTGTGCCAATAATTCTTAGAGAAAGTAAAATATGTGAATGTGTTTGTGAATATCATTTTTTTTAATGAAAGGATGGGGAAGCGTTTTTAAAAGTGTGTGTCGGCGCATATCCGTCATATGACGTTATTTAGGTGCGGCGACTACCATAATCGCACTTTGTATATAATTCTATATTTTGAAAAGTATAAATCAATTTAATTTGAATTTTTCAGGACTGATTTGAAATAAATATAGCTTCCATCATGTATAATTTTGTTAATTTACGTCGACTAGGAGCAATTTTATCGAAGTTGTGACATTACTTTTGGATCAGCCCTCGTATTTGAAATTTGTTTTGTATATTTATAATATATGTACTAAAGAGTAGTGAAAATTTCAGAACACTGTGATTATTTTTCACACAAGACAACTTGTTCACGATTTTACCGGACAACCCTCGTGTATTTTGTTTGTTTTAAGAAATAGTATTTAAACAATGAAAATTATTGATTATTATGTCAAATTATGCAAATGCATTTGTTATTGAACTTGATGATAGATAAAATATAATCATGCGCACAGTATATATAAAAAGTAAAGACTGTATATACATGTATTTTCTTTTTATTTTCTTAAAGAGGCCTATGCTGGGTAGTCATGGCCATGATCATACGAATTACCATTTTCTGAGAGACTGCAGGCAATCTGGATACATTTCCTTTGTTGAATATGAAAAAAAACTCACGTATTCATGACTGGTTTTTCTCATTTTTTCAATGAAAATGACATTTAAAATACAGTTTTTCATCTTGTTTACCTACCAATTATGACCCGAAACACCTTATTTGACCAAGCTAAATGTATGAAGATTAAAGAAATTTATTCCTTTAATTTGATAAATCTGTACGAATCTTCTCAATGTTCGCTCGCTCTGTGATCGGGAGGTCGTGAGTTCGTATCTCGGCCGCGACTGAAAATGGGTAGCAACCGTTCCTTCGCCATGCGCTCGGCATTTTGAAGTGAAAGTTACGGGTCCTTCGGATGAGATCTTAAAAACCGAGGCCCCGTGTCAGCGGCAGGCGTTGGCACGATAAAGATCCCTCACTGCTCGATGGCCCTGAGTGCCGAGTAAAGGTCAAAATTTGAAGCCCTTCACCGGCATACGGTGACGTCTCCATATGAGTGAAAAATTCTCGAGAGGGACGTTAAACAATATACAATCAATCAAACAATCTTCTTAATGTTTGCAATTTTCATCGCTTAATGTAATAAATTATTAATAGTTGGCATTCTCAACTGCTTATGCAAAATTGCTACTAAAAGAAACATAATTTAATAAAGCGGTTGAGAATTTCAACTATTTATGCAGTATTTTATGACATAAATCGTTGCATTGAAAAGCCCACTTATAAAACTAAGTGGCTACAGTGCATTAAATCAATTATTACTCTAACTGATTGAATTGAGGAACATATCAATTAACTAGAACAACAATTAAGGGGAATTCTCGCCTTTAAAAAAACTTAAACCCCCTGCAAAAATAATTCAGCATTAACTTAATGCTATATCTTTGACGTTTTGTCCATAATCAATCTTCATCCTCATGCGACATACGAGGGCTGTTCAATAAATAATATCCTCGGTGCTCGGAAAGAAGCAAAAGACGCTTTTCAAGGATTTAATCTTCATTATTTTACTTATCAATCTCTCTTAATTAAAACACATGTCCGTAACATTTTGTATCCAATTTCTGATTGTTTGTAGAACTCAGTTTTGGGTATGACCCTTAGTATACTGGAAAATGACAGATCCAAGGATTTCCCGGACTTGTTTCTTCCTTATTAAAGGTGTTTTTTCAAGTTTGGAAATAGAAACAAGTCAAAAGATCAAAGATCTGGCGAATATTGTTAATGTGAAAAAATATTAATTATCAGTTTATCCCGAAAACCCCTTTACTCTTCAGGACATGCGGGTTTGGAGGCTGTCATGAAGAAATTTAATGTAGTGGATTCCTGATTCTGGGTCATTCCTCTAGTTAACCTTTCGATTTTTTTGCAAACAATTTGCTTTCTAGACTCCTCCAGAAATTAAACTGTCTTATCGAATACGAATTTGAACACTAATACCACTAATATTTAATAAAATTGCATATAAATCTGTCTTTGTGCTCTTGCAATTCTTTGCTCTCACTAGACCTTCGCTGTTTTGTCAAGTACATCTTATCGTAAATTTTGCTTTGAGGATTTTAAGCAATAGATTCAAGTTCCATTATCCGTTTGAATATCAAAACAACATGGAGAACTCCAATTATTGATATATTTTTTAAAATGGTAGGACATCTGTACACGCTGTCGTTTTCACTTATTTTTCAAAATATAGGGTGACCTTTGAGTACTAAGCTTTTTTACCGTCAAACGTTTCTTTAAAAAGGTTTAAACTGCCCCCGATGTGATATCTATCAAATTTGCTATGTGTCTTAAAGTCAATCCTACATCATCAAGTATTATTTGGTGAAATTTGGCAAACATAAGTTGTTATAATTTTTGTTGGCAAGGATGGTACCCATTTTTGATGCCCATTATATTATTTTTTTATCATTGAAATCCACCTGCTTATTTGTCTATAAAACAGGCATTGGTTGCTGTAAATATCACATATTTCAGTGAATATTTCTTTTGGATTCTTAACAAGTTTTACAGGAGCTTTGATGAAGCTTTTTTTTTCTCTCTCGAGTTTACCGATTCTTTACCATTCATTGATAACGCAGTGTCTCGAAAAGCCCTTGTTTCCCAGCTTCTCTCAATGAAACTATGTAATGAAAAGTGGTCACATGAACTGTTATAAATTCATTAAAGATTCAACTATTAGAAAAAGTAAAGTTTAATGTTATATGATATCTGTATTGTATCTCATACAGTTCAGGACATTATTTATTGAACAGCCCTCGTATATCTCCGTCAACGTACTCATTAACTTTTTTTTTTTTTTTCACACTTTTTTCCTCCCTAAATTTTGATCAATCTGATTTTGATTTTTAAGTATAGGTTACATAAAAAATGTCGAGTATGTACATTGTATTGAGTACTAGGATACTGGGATACAGTTTCATAAAACG